TAAGCACATTCACTGTGGGGAACGGGTACCATGTGGATCACTCTTCTCTTCTTTTAGTTTTTATTTTTCATGAGTACGTCTGCTGTGCAGTGACCACATCCCTTGTAGTGAACTGATACACACACGTAATACACCTCAGTTCTCTTTTCAGCCCCTTTCCCACAACCTTCTCCTCTTCCCTCCATTTCTTGTTCCCCTCCCCTCTCTCTTTATTTTTATTTATTTATGTATTTACTTTTGTCTTTTCGAGATAGGGTCTTGCTATGCAGTTCAGGCTGGCCTTGAGCTTGCAATCATAGCCCAGGCTAGTCACAAACTCGCGAAGATCCCCCTGCCTCAGCCTCCCTAGTGCTGGGATTACAGTGTGTGCCCCCACACCTATCCTTCCCCTTCACATCTGAAAAAGATATAGCCCCTTATTTCCTATTATTAATTTTTTTTACCTTGATCTTTGCAGGTATTTAAACATGTGTGTCTGATTTATTTCATTTAACATTATGGTCCCAGTGGGCATCCATTTTCCTACAAATGACTCAACTTTATCCTGCTTTACAACAGAGTAGTACTCTGCTGTGTGTAAATACATTTTCTTTATGCACTGATCTGCTGATGGATATCTGCTGATATACAGGCTGCTTCCAAGACCTAGCTATTGTGAGTTGTGCCGCTATAAACATGGACGTGCGTGGGTTGCTATGATGTAATCCCTTTAACTCTATTGGTAAGACCTAGAAGAGGAATAGCTGAATCAAATGGAATTTTTATTTGTTTATTTATTTTTGGTTTTAGTTTTTAACAACTCTCTGTACAGATCATAGTGGTTGTACTAGTTTATGTTCCTACCAACAATATAGAAGGGCTCTGATATGGTTTATGTCTATGTGTCCCCCCAAAGCCTCGTGCAGTCACTGGCGGCTTCTGGACTTTGCGACTGATTACTGTGGGTGTGGGTACTGCACCCAGCCTGGGGCAAACAATTTGCATTACAATGTAAGCGGAGAGAGGCTAGCTAGCTGCAGGAGCCGCTGCCACTCACTTTGGCTCTCTGTTCTTTGCCGTTGCCATGGAACCAGCTGAGTATGGACTGACACCTCCACTTCTGTGAGCTAAATAAACCTTTCCTTCCTTCCTTTTGGGTGTTGAGTATTTTGCTCCAGCAACAAGATAAGAGTAACTGAGACAGGCTCCTTTTTCTCTATAGCTTCACCACTAGAATTTGTTATTATTAGATTGCTTTCTTTCTTTTAGGATGGTACTGGGGATCAAACTCGGGATCTTGTGCTTGCCAGACAGGCACTTATGCCACTGAGCTATATCTCTGGCCTTATTATTATTATAACTACTACTACTACTATTATTATTACTATTATTATGATGATGTATTTAGTACAGGGTCTACAGGGTCTCACTACACAGATCAGACTCATAGTAATCCTCCTGTTTTCAGCCTCCCAAGCACTGGGATTACAGGAATACGCCACCACGCCCAATCTCAGTCACCTTCTGCGTGCATCCTGGGGGCAGGGCTGGCTCAGCATGCTGGGGATCGAACCCAGTCCCTGTGTTTTCCTAAGCAGGTACTTTAACCCACTAAGATATCTGGTTGGCCCTCCAGCCCTATTATTTGATTTCTTGATTATAGCCATTCTTTCTGAAGTAAGATAAAATCTCAGTGTTGTTTTCTTTTTTCATGAATTTATTGGCCACTTGCATTTCTTCTTCTGAGAAGTGTTTATTAATTTTAGTTAAGGCCTTTTATTTTGGGGGGCTTTTTTTCATTTCTTTATATATTCTAGATATTACTTCTTTTTCTGAATTGTATTTTTTTTTCATTTATGGATTTGGTATAGGGTCTCACTACGCAGCTCAGACTCTTACTGATTCTCCTACTTTCAGCTTCCCTAGCACTGGGATTATAGGTGTACGCCACCATGTCTGAACTCATTTGCTGGTTCAGTGCACCCTGAAGGATGGGCTGGCTTGGCATGGAGGATGGAGGATCAAACCCTGATCCCTGTGCTTGTCAAAGCAGGTGCTTAGCACACTGAGCTATCTTGCTGGCCCTTTCTGAATTGTAACTGGTAAAAAATTTTTCCTATTCTGTAGGTTGCCTCTTTATTCTGATGGTTCTTTCCTTTGCTGTCCAGAAGCTATTTAATTTCATAGGACCCCATTTGCTGATTCTTGTGCACACTTCCTTCTTAAACAGGCTCCCTGTAAACATCTACTGAATCAGGACTGGAGGACGCAGAGGCCGGTGAGCTGACGGGACAGAGGACAGGAGGTGCCGGCACAGACCCAGTGGAGAAGAGCACTGCGGTAAAGGCACAGTGTCTGACTGCACCAGGCAGGCTTGGGATGCAGCCAGCTCCACTGCCTTGTTCTTCCATGACCTTGGCCCACTCCCTTCAGCCCCCAATATCTGAGTGTCTCATGTGTGAAATGGGGATACTGACACCACACTCCATCCCAGAGTTGCTGAGACACTGAAATCAGATAGTGGCTGTGACACTACAGTGTAAGACTGGGTATCATATAAAAACTTGAAAATAAGTTTGTTTTTACTCCACTGCAAGACCTCAAGGGGGAGAGAGCTCTTCTCTCCTTGGCTCTGTGCTTGAGAGCTGCAGCGCCACAGTACTTCTCTGAGGCATTTCTCTGAGTTCAGCCTTCATACACCCCCTCACTTTTTTATGCTAGCTGGACCCCAGTGATTAGCTGCTCCCAGCATACCCGAGCAGAATTTATCCTCTTCTTCCCAGCCCAGCTCCTCCTTAAGAGCTCTCTGTCCCCATGATCTGCACCCAAACCCTCCTAGTTCAAAGCCTAGAGCAGGGATCTGGGCTGGAGCTGACAGCAGTCTCTGGATGGGGACCAAAGCCAGCCAGCTGCCAATCCCTGGCAATGGTGCCAACCCGCTCCTCCATTTTCCTCTTCCATGTAGCCTGATGTTGTAGTTTGAGGTTTTGCAAGGTTTGTGTGTATTCGTCCCCCCAAAACCTCATGTAGTCATTGAGGTGCAGTTCTACAGTTTGTGATTAACTCATGGTCCAGTGCTGGGATTATGGATCTGAGTATTGCTGGGATTATGGGTCTGAGTGTCACACCCAGCCTGGGGCTGATAGCCTGAATGTAACATAATAGAGACAGACTTGCTCTCTGTATTCATTGTTGCTATTACTCTTCCCATTTGCTCTTGCTGTTTGCCATTTTCTGCCACCATGAACTGCTGCCCTCTGCTACATGCCACTCTGCCTTGGAGCCAGCTGAGTATGGACTGAAACCTCCACTAACTGTGAGATAAATAAACCTTTCCTTCCTTCATTTTGGGTGCTGGATATTTGTCCTAGCAACAAGAGAAGAGTAACTGAGACACAAGGGGAACAATACAACAGAGGACACATATTCTATAAGATTATTCTATAATGAATCACGCAAAGAATCATATACCAAGGGTGCAGGAAATATGTCCACACACTGAAGACCAAAGATTCCAGCTGA